ATATAAAATATACATATAATTTTCTTGAGATATCTCTGACCTTGGTTTACTTGAAGTTTTTCCAGTAAATCACATTTATTTTGCTGCAGGCACAAATACATAAATTCTGATAAGTAGATTGCCATGCTCATTTCTGATGATATATCTATTTTCCCCAAAGAGCTCTGACATTTCTAGGGGACACAGTATCCCAGCACAGAATACCTGGGAACCATGCCATTAAAAAAAAAAAAAAAAAGAATAGAAATGCTGCCTGCTGTGACTAGGAGATCACTTTCTTAAAGAGATGCCTTACCTATATGACTGCAGTGCCAATGTTTCCTCTTATCTCTAACCTGACCCCTGTTCGGTGTTCCTCTCCCCAGCCCAAATTTAGCCTAGAGTGTTTCTGCAACAGTAATGCCATTAGTTTTGCAACTAAAATATACAAAGACCATTCTCAGCTAAAATATGTCAACATGTCCCAAAATATTTAAGTTACATGTCTCAGGAAGTAAATATAAATGTATACTAAAAGACATGATTTTTAAATGTTTTAGGTACCCACAGCATTTCTTGGGTATGGGACTGAGGTCAGCACTTCTAATAAGCACAGCTGTCTCTCTCCCTCTCTCTCTCTCTCTCTCTCTCTCTCACTCTCTCTGTTTTTCTCTCCCCCCTGTAGTTCTGCACTGCTCTAAAAACCCCTGGTCACAATACGAAAGCTCCCCCGCCCCCTGCCCACCTCACTTCCAGCAGAGGGGTTCCCAGCGCCCCAGCCGGGGAGAGGTGCCGGGCGCGGAGCCAGGGCTGTGGTCTCCTGCCCCAGGTAGCTCGCTCCATCCGCCGTCCGCCCCACCTCTGCCCCTTCCCACCCCGGTTCTCCCAAAAGCGACGAGCAGACATCACCCCACCTTCCAAACCCCGGCTAGAGCCCAGGACGAGCCGAGAGCACCTACCATGCCGCGCCTCCGAACTCCGACGCCCGGCCCGCAGCTTGCCCCGGCAGCCTCCCGACTGGCTCCCACTAGCCAAGTCCCGCTGCCGCCGCGAGCGGGTGCCCGCAGGTGGGAAACGTCTCAAACTCGTGATGGGCAGGTGATCCCCAGAAAGCCCAACCCTAAAGTCACTCCAGCCCCGGGGGACTGAGGGGCGAGGAAAGGACGGGGAAATTGTGAAAAGGAAAAAAGGAAAGGAGCCGGCGAGCGGATAACACGCGCCCCCCGCCCCCCATAAAACTAGAGAGCGAGAAGGGCGGCTTTTAGGAAGACGCGGAGCGGCTCGCTGCTGAATCACGCTCTTCCACCGCCCGGGCCCATTGTGCGCGACGCCGCCTGTACCATTGTGGAACCTGCCGAGGAGCCGCGCAGGGCGCTCGGGGACTGGGGTTGCTATGGCAACGGGAAGGGGCGCGCGTGACGTCAGAGCCCGGAGAGGCCCGGGGGGGAGGGGCGAGGGGGAGAGGAAGGAGTCTGCGCGCGGCCGTGGCTGCGGCGCTT